TTCAAAAAACTTAATAACGATGAGACTTCCATATTAGTGGTTTTGTACTTTTCGTGTTTTATTTTTTTCACAGGTTATGAAATATTTATATAATTGAAAAATTAAAATAGGAACATGAGAAATTAATTCAAGAAAATTTTAAGAAAATATAATAGTAAAGTAGTAAAAACTAAACTACTTCATACATGAATAAAAAAAACTAATTATTTTAAAAAAACGTGATCAAACTTACTTGAAATCAAAAAGGAAAACCAATCAAGATAAAAAGTTAGCAGTTGAGTTATTTTATATCAACGTTTTGCAATCTTATTTTGTTTATTTTATGGGTAATCTAATTTTGGTTTTTTACCTTTTCGAATTTGGTTTTCAAAAACCTCCAACGATTGGTCTTTTACCTAGTTATATATAATATTTAAATTTAAGACTCGTTTCAATTCTTTTTTTTTTTTCTTGTGGTCTGTTTTATTTCAATTTTAACAAGTATACTAGGTGGTGGGTTTTTTTTTAAGAATTTCACTTAACGAAGTAGCAATTACTCCATATAACGAAGAGAGCATTTAGAATTGTTCGGACATTCTTTATGACCATTGTTTTTTATTCTCACATCAATAAATTCGCAAGGGAATGTGCCTGAAAGATTTAGTCTCGCATAGATAACAATTTCTATTCTCTCTCTCCCTCTCTCATCATAAACTATGAGAAGTTTTACTGGAAGTAACCGTTCACAAGTTCGATTTCGAACACATCTTCGAAATGTAGAAGAGGATAAAAGGATCGAAAAAGCGATCAAGAAAAGCTTTCGTTTGAGTTGACTTGGGCATGAGTCCACTAGATCGGTTAGTGCAGTGACTTGCGTCCTTCCCTATAGTCTTAAATCGCATTGCACTCTAATCGTTTTGCCATTTAGTTGTATCCTCCGTTTAAGGTCACCACACATGAGCCAAAACGCATTGCCATTGACATCCTGTCAAAAAAGTCAAAATCCCTAAAACAAAAAGTGCGATAAATAAGACGACATCCTGTCATCTTTCGTCACCGT